TCCCTTTCCTGTGCTTCTCAAGTAATGTCTTTGTCTACAGCTTATTTTTCTCTGGAAATTCATTATTTAATGCTGAAAAGCATTTTTAGGTTTAAAAAAAACACAAAACAAAAAAACTTTCTACAAAATAAGATGCAGTTCTTTCTAAGAAGGATGTGGAAAGGGTTCTTGGGTTTATTAGTCTTTAATTTGAAACTGATTGTTGTGTGCTTGTGTCTTTGTTCAGGAAAGCATTTCTCACTCTCTGTGAGTTGATGCAGGCAGTCCTGAGCATGGATTTAAGCAAAATGTGAAAGAAATTCTGTTGTTTAAAGTGAAATACACATGTGAATTTGCATCCCTTTCTTCTTTGGGTCACAGTCATAATTTAGAAATAAACTGAAAATAGAACCAGATGTGCCATGAACTGATCTTAGGAATTACCCATAAATTGTGGAGCTATCTGCTGTCTCTCTTGCTGTTTACTCTAGTTAGAGGGAGGACATGAAAAACCTGCTTTTTGCTTTGTGAGGAGAGGTTAAGCTTCCCTGGCAAACAGAGCCACATGTAGTCTGCTGCAGCCAGATGAATGGTATTAAAAATCATCTATAAATGCAATTAAAGTATAACTTTTTTTTTTTTTCCTAGCTGCTAGAGAAGCAGGAGTGGCAAAAGCAAATGGTCTGGCTTCTCCAGCTACTGGGAGATTGTCCGGCCATCACAACAAGCACGTGGAGTCTGTCCGACCCGGCATCCTCAGCGACAGCCCCAAATCTGCCCGCAGCCCCTTTCATCGACAGAGGAGGGTTGTTTTCTACGATGGTGACGTTAGTGATGACGATGAAAGTTCCCACTTGCAAAGAAGCCAGAGGGCCAAGAGTCAGGAGGACGCTGGCATTGTCATTACAACCTCGTCCGTAGAAATCGATGATGAGAGCCAGGACAGTGAGTCACCTAGACACAGTGGCACGGAGACGTTTTCCCCTGTCTTCAGCAGCTCCGTGGAGTCTGCAGACAGCACACTGGAGCAAATTGACTCTCCTTTCTTCCCCATCATAGCGTTTGATTACTCAAGTGTGCCTGAAGCTCGTCTCAGCAGCCTGAGCCTGAAGGAGCTCCGGGAAGCACAACTCGAATCTAAGAGGTCACCAAAACTTGAGCACAGAGCAGTCACGAGAGTGAAAAGCATGATGAGCACTGAGTGCCGAAGCCTTCAGAGACAGAGGACGGAAGAGCATGGCTCTTACAGCAAGCCTGTTGCAAGGATGCTCCCTCACAGCAAGAAGTGTGAAGCACCGGACGGGGCCAGGCAGGGCCAGGGTGAAATAGTCACTCTGGTTCGCAATGAGCACGAGTCGTTCGGCCTGGATTTGGAAATCCAGGCCATGCCCTTAAAGGTTGTTGTCACAGGGCTGCGGCCAGGTGGAGCAGCAGAAATGGTAATTTTTTAATTTGGGTTGCCTTGTTGTGATTTGCTTTCACTTTGCAGGGATTATTATTTTTAATTATTATTATGCAAGTGATCTGTTGAGAGTAAGTGCAAAGATGTTTGTCTCTGCTGGGCAAAATGTCTCATCCCATATTGTTCTGAAGCTGCTGTTAAATTAAGTGTTTCTGATTGAGAAGTGCACCCTTGGCTGATTCAAAACTAAGAAAGTCAAGAGGCAGATCTGCTGAGTTGGGTTGATCCCCACTCGCAGTCACAGTTTTGAGGGAATACTATTATTTTGTTCCCTTTCTTTTTACCAGAAGTAAAGACAAAATAAGTAAATCCTGGTGGTAAAAATGTTTGTTACTTTATACGCATGTATTCTTGTGATAATACAAATCTGGTACCAGGAGGCCTTAGGTGCTAGCCAGGTTTGCCAAGTGCCATGGAAGTACCAGTAACATACTGCTCTTCTGCATCTCATACATGCATACTTGCTTCATGCTGGTTGTGGAATTGCTGACCTAGATGCAAAAGTGCAGAAGGAAGAAGGAGGATACTCTGGTGTACAAGGCTGGATGTAGCATTTTTAATCTAGTTAGTGGCCACTAGGGGAACAGGGGATAAGTCGTAGCAGTTTGAATTGAGCTGTGAGAGCTGGGGATTTGGGTTCTGTTCCTGCCTTTTTCTCTGACTTACTGTGCAGTGCTTAGAAACATACTTAGGCTTTTACCTTAAGAGCTCAGTCCCTGCCCAATTTAGTTATTTAGGAGAGTCCCATTGGTCCAATGGGAGGTTGTGACGAGGAATATAATTCATACATGAAATGCAAAAATGATAGGCAATGTTCCAGTCCTGGAGAAGCTAGGACTGATCCATCCCAGTTCATTTAAATGAAGAGGGCTGTCCCCTCCATCCTGATACTGATCTCTCAGAGAACCCAGCAGCGCTTTTGACCTTCCTTTTTGAGATTGATCATTAATTCCTCTCCTGGCAAAAGGACAGTCTGCTCTTTATTTACGTGTTGGCAAACTGACAGCAGTGGTACCTGTGATCTGCATTGATGTGAAATAGGGAACATTGCTCATAAGCCATTAATTGCTTCCCTGCAATCCTTGCCCCTGTGGCAGGGCTTCTGAGGTGTACTTATAATTTCCTTGGATCTGTCATTGCATCAGGGATCAATGGGCAAGATGGCTGTAGGAGATGAGATTACCACCATCAACAGTATCCCAGTCAGTAAGATGACGTACGAGGAAATCTGCTTGCTTATGCAGTGTCTTCCCACATCCGTAACCCTGGAGATCCAGAAAGCAGCATCAGGTGAGAGAGTAGTTTTGCTTTCGTACCATTTATTTTGAGTACCAGTGAAGAAAATTCCCTTGGATCAGCTGGGTCTGATCTGCTGCTGCCACAGATGCTCCCATGTTGATTCAGAGAAAAAACAGGGGGTACATCGTGTCTGCATTGCTGAGCCAGGCAAAGCACTTCATCACCAAACCAGGCTTTGGGGTCCTTCCTAGCACCTCGATGAGGGGAGCGAACCTACTCCTGTGTGAAGTGTTTAAAGCTCCCACTTACAACATGTCCCTCCTGCCAGCATTTGCAGAGGTCTGAGTTGTGTCGTGCAGACCTGGAGCTAAGTCGACAGCAATCCTGTCCTGACGACCCATTTTACTGCTGTGCCTGTTCAGTAAAGATATTAACCCTTTATAATCACATCATTCTCTCTTAAAGCTGACTTTTAAATAGTGCTTTTGTGCATGGGCCATAAGGTAATAAAAGCCTTTTTTCTTTCCTTCCCTTTTGTGTGTCAGAATTCTCTAATGTGCAGAAGGATGAAACAGAAAACCCAAGACAACTAGAATCTTACAAAAATGTTTATTTGCATGTTTCTTATAAAAAGTTTTCTAGTTTGAATTGAAACATTTGATACCTCCTTAGTTTCTGCTCAGGGCTGATTTATGCTGCTACAGCAATATATGCATCCCCACAGACTGTACAAATTACGTGGTGTGGAAATGAGTGTTTGAAAAAGAAAAGCATACTTTTCAAATTCAGGAAGAACATAATATTTTGCTTCGTTTTAGCTTATGATCTTCTTTGTGTACCTATTAATACCTGGGAGCCTAAAGTGCTTCCAGATGCTTCAGTTCCAGTTGTTCTTTAAGGAATTGCTGGCTTGGCAGAGAGTCCTGTTCTTGTTTCCTTAGATTGCTGTGGCTTTTGCAAACTAATAGCATTGGGGTAGGGGCAGACTTGGCAACTCTTCTGCTTTCCCCTTCCCCTCGCCCTGCCCCACTGGCAGAGAAGAGGGTCTCTTCAGTGTGTGATCCAGCATGCTGAAGCAGGGCAGTACTTCAAATCCTAACCTGGCTGCTTCAAATTGCTCTTCTGAGATGTCTTCCCCTTTTTTGACTCCAGAAGGAACCTGCACTTCTTAACACAGGTACCTAAGTTAAGTGGTGTGGATAATCCCGCAGGTTTGTGCAAGGATTAGAGGGATGTGCTGGCACGTTTGAATGAGCAGGAAAGCATGCTGACTCTGTGAATACAACCCTCCTTCTCCATGCTCTTTCTGGGCCTCATCTGGTAGTAACTGGCCTCTAGAAAGCAGCTTGAATGGGGATGTGTGTCCCAGAAGCAGTGTAGAAAGGTGCAAGCAGATGCTTAGGGTGAAATGCTGAAAATCGAAGAGCTGGAGAAATGGGTGTGGAGTGCAGCAGTGACAGGGAGGTCAGTGTGTTGCCCAGGAGTGGGTTAAACATGTATTGGAAACAAGGAAAGGTTTGTGCCAGAAATCCTGTAAAGCCCATATGCTTAATGCGTGTATAACATCACCCATGCATGTCACATTAAACACCTACAGAAGTGCCGAGAGGATCAGAGTCTATTTATTTATGCACAGCTTGTCACTGTGTTATCTGCTCACCTTTGTTTGATACGCCAGGGCTTTGTGTACTCTCTGCAATCTATTGGAGATATCTTCGATCAAACAAGTAATGAGAAGCGGTACTGCTCAGCCTGACTTACTGCACACTGACAGTTTGGTAGCTGGCTGCTTGACTGCTGAAATTTCAAAGATGAGAATTAAACAGATCATGACTACTCACCTTGGATAAGTGGATTGCTCCCTCCTGTGTGCTGCTCAAATACACAGGGTTCTGATTAATTTGAGTTGTTGTAAACATCGTTACAGAAGAGGAGGAGTGCAGAGCAAAAGGAAAACATGTAGTGTGACTACGTGGGTGTCTATTTTTGTAATAAAACCTGGTGTTTTGTGTATCACTTCCCATATCTGACACGATTTGGCTTCTTTTTTTTTTATTTATTTTTATCATGATGCAGCTGTCAGCAGATTTACAAACCTCATCCTGTCTCCAGGGGTGGACAGTCAAAATCAGGCCGATGTCAACAGCAGCCTCGGAACTGAGGAAGAACCGAGCGCTGGGAAGCGAGAAGGAACAGGTTTGCAAAATGCTGGTGGCAGCTG